AGGCATTGTCGTCCAGCTTTGGGTTTCTTCAAACCATCGTTCAAATGAACTCCCGTCCACTTATTCATGGTAGTCGGTCGTTTTCTTTGACTCAAATGCCCTTAGGGCAGTGGGTACAAAGCCATCTTCACTGCCAATGTGACAGATAACAAATCTTTTTCCTTGTCCTGGAAATAATTATCTAGTATCTAACAGGTGTTGGTTCCAAATCTACTAGATATAGCAAGTTTTCAGCGTGGGCTCATAGACTCAGTCTATTTGACAACATTTTTTCAACACAAATGACGAATTGGTTAGATAGACGTACCTGACGGATTCTTTAGGCCAGTGGTTAGTCCATCTAAAAAGGCTTGCCTTGCTGATTTAATTGTGTAATACTTTAGGTTCTGTATGTCCTGCATTTATCCAGGTTTCATCCAAGTAATAAATCTTCCTGCCATGGTCGCGGTATTTCTTTATTGATTTTAAATAATTTCTTCTCCATAAAATAATATCTTGGCTGTCCATCAAAATACTATTTCTTGTAAAGTCTGGTTTTATTGATGTAAGTTGTTCAAGAGGGTATTTATAACATGGACGCATAAAATGAGTACACCCATTTTTTGGGAAAACTTTTATTCGGCAACAAAGAATGAGAAAATGTGTTTTTTGGGATTCAATCGAAAGTGTTGGCAGGAACGAAAAAACTCTTCAAATAAGATTTTTATTTATTTACTGAGCCTATAGAATGAGACCACACGTAAAAAGATCCCACTGGTAGTAAAAAGGTTATGGCTAAAAACCGAGGCAAAACGCAGGTTTTGGCACTTGTTGCTAATAGTGCGACGATAATGTCACGCACCTACTTGAAATTCGTCAAATCCGAAGGTTTCTTACTTCCAAATAACAATAACAAAATTGAAGTCGATTGGTCAAGTAGTTTTTGAGAATTTCTAATTGCTTATCCCAAAACACCGGTCTTCCGGCCATCACCACTGATTTATTGAGCAATATACCGGGTTCGTTCAAAGGGAATTTTATAGCAAAATACACGAGTTTACCTTGCCGACATAAATCACAAGCCATTCCGAAAGATAATTGCTATTTTTATGCGAAAAACGAAAGGTTACGTTTTTTTCTTCTAAACAAATTCAAACATTTCGTATTTTTAGGTAATTCAGCAGATTCGCTACGATATTCGAAAAAACATACGCTATTATAAACATTTTACAACAAAGCGTATGTGTCTCACCTTATGTTGCGAGGACAAAACAATTCAATATTTTTTTCATACCCTTGGGTATACATACGAGGGATGTCTTTTAAGTTTTGCATATGGAAATAAAACAACACGGTAGGTAGTTTTAAATGACTTTATTGTTTTTCGAAGTATTCTCCACGAAGATTAATACACATCTGCATGCGCTCGAACCAATTTTCGAAGCACTTATTCCACTCGTTTGCTGTCAGATCCAAAACGGCATTTTTGAATGCGTCAACTGCTTCTTCTGGTGACTGGAACCTTTGACCACGCAGTCTGTTTTTAATTTTCGCGAAAGTAAAGAAATCGTTTGGACTTAGATCGGGACTATATGGAGGATGGTCCAATAATTCTACGTTTTCTTCCGTTAAATACTGTATTGTTTTTGGGGCTGGGTGCGAGCTTGCATTGTCTTGGTGGAGGATGATTCTTCTTTCGGGGTTGATTTTTCGAAGCTCGGTGATGATGAAACAAATGGTGGTATACCAATCCGCAGTAACAGTTCTTTGCTCATTAAGAGGAATTGTTGCAATATGACCCGCTTTGGACACACATGCCGCGACCATCTTTTTCGAAACACTTCGAGAACGGATTCTTCATGTAAAATTTTTTGAATTGAGGTCTTTGAGATCTTCAAGGACGCCTCAATTTCGCGATATGTCACATGTCTATCTTCAATGATGAGTTTGCGCACAGCATCGACGTTTTCCTGGGTGACTGCCGTTTTTGGTGCACCCACCCTGGGATCGTCGCTAAGACCCACCCGTCCACGTTTGAATTCTCCATACCAACGGGAAATTGTCGACTGATGCGGCGTATTGCCGAAAACAGACAGTAACTCAGCAAGGCATTCTGGTTGCGAAAATTGTCTCTGAAAGTTTTAATAAATTATGGCGCGAAAATGTTCTCGGTTGAGTTCCATTTTTTTAATGACTTGGTGACACTTAAAAATTCGCTGTAGTGATAACGCTGCACGTATTGTTGTGAAAATTTGAATTTAAGTTTACTAAAGAGTGAGGTTAAGATTCAGTACTGACGTTCGATCCGCGCAGCCTACTATGTTTCTATATGCAAAACTTAAAGACATCCCTCGTATGCTTAGTGCTGAAATTTTTACACAGTCACTGATGAGCCTTAAAGCTTATAAAAAAAATATTTCATACTGAAATGCACTGAACTGTTTATAAAGTTAGCACGCAAACTGATGTCACAATTGTTTCAAACTGTCTTAGACTAGTTAGTATGTAGGATGTGCTAAATGGCTGCATTATTGATGATTGCATGACTTTGTCAAATAAATGGCTCACGTAATCCAGTTTCTTTACGAAGAAAGGTAATTCCCTGGACCTTTTTTCTAAAAGTATTAATATAGTATTCGTCTGTTTTCGAAATCTCGTACGATTAAAACGAAAATATTGTAAAATAAATTCGAGAAAACGAAAAAAACAGTAGACAACTATCAACTAATTGTATTGAACTGACCGTCTGAAAAATTAGACAAAATGCTCGGTATTAGTCCGTAATACATTATTTAAAGTTATTATTCTTGTGAAGTTTCAAGAGGATTCTAGTTGTTTATAACAGATGTGATATGCCTCCAACGTTCGCTTGACATTTTTCAGTATCAAGTATAGTGGTATAAAGATCCAGTAAACCAAGAGGCGTCGTAGCGTAAAGGATGAGCGATTGCAGAACCGCAGGACGGAGGTTCGAATCCACAAAGCTCTTTATTTTTCTATTTTTTTTTTGTTTGGTGAATTAAATGCTTTTTTCATATTATTTGTTCTTTTATTGTATATTATTTGAGAGAGTGACTTCCTTACTCGCAGTGACATCCAGATTAGAAAGAATTTTCAAAAAACTAAGATCATGGATCCCATTTTTGTTTGATAATGGAAATTATCCGACACACTTGGTTCTGTTTTTTATGCATTTGAGGAAAAAGTTCCTCTAAAATCATTTTATTACAAACTGTTTTGTTGTTAGAATTAATAATACTCAAATCCTCCACTTGACTAAATATATACTACTGAACTGACTACTGAAAATATCGTAGGGCCATATACATTGAATTTAAGGATATATTGGATTTATTTAAATCGTTTGTACGAGGCCCTTCCCACTTCAGTTGGCCCACTTCAAGATTTGTACCAAAATATGCCTTTATAAACTAAACATGACGAAACTATTTACTTCTAAAACAATGTATTTTCTCAAAAACATTTATAAAATACATATTTGAAATCACTTAGACCTATAACTAATAGAACTTCTGTTAACAGTTAACAACAATTGAAAGATTACCTTTGGGTAACAACACCTTTTTTATTACGGCTGAAATTCTTTGGGGCATAGTGTTAAACAAGTTTTGGCAAAAATTGGGTGTAAAACAATCCCATATTTCTTGAAGCTTTTGTCTCAGTTCGGTGATTGTACGAGCAGGATGTTGTCCTAGAACCTTTTTCATCTCGTGCCACAAAGTTTCAATAGGTGACAGATCTGTACTGCTAGAAACCCATTTCAAAATTGGTACATTATTTTCTTCCATCCATTTTATAGCCGTTTTTGAGGTATAGCACCCTGCACTATCTTGCTGAAACACAAAATCTTGGCCGGATGTCAAACATTATTCCATCACTGGTAAAAGCGATTTTTCTAAATTGCCAAATATTTGTTTGTATCCACATTTCCATCAATAAAATGAAGTTTTTGATGACATACTGCCCCAGACCATAATGGATGCTGGAAATTTCACTTTTCTCTTCAGACAGTCAAGATGGAATGCTTCATTTTTTTGCGAATAACTCTACTGCAACTGTCACCAACACAAACTTCGAAACGGGCCTCATCACTCCAGTGTGTTGCACACCATTGTTGAGGTGTCCATGGTCTATGTTCTTTAGCCCATCTAAGCCGATTTTTCTTTTGCAGTGGAGTTAATAGTGGCTTTTATTTTTCCTATAAACAAGTTGTGCAATTTTAGGGTTTTTACTTCACTTTTTTTATAAGAAAACTTACCTTGCAAGTGCTAAATCCCAGTTTGTGGACCTCGAAATTCTCCTTCCAACAGCGTCACTCCACAGAGCACTTAATTGTAAATGATTGGCACGCCTGTTTTTCACGATTATTCTTCTTAATGCTCTTCGGTCGGCATTTGTGATATTACTTTTTTTCACATATCGTGGCTTAATATTAACTGAACCAGTTACGTTATATCTTCTAACAATATTTCTCATACTGTACCGCGATAAGTCTAGCAAAGTTGCAATTTCTGAGTTTGATTTCCCAGAAATAAAAAATTTAATTATCAGTAACCGAATTTTCTCACTAATAACCTTTCCTCTACCCATTTTGAAAACCTTAACTACCCAAAACTATTTTAAACGTATTCTGACAGCTGTGATTAATGAAAACAATTGTCATGGCTTTTATTTTTCACAGCCACCTATGCGTTATAGACTTATTTTGCATTGAAATGAAAATAGGTTGATATGCTGTAATTGCAACATGTGTTATTTTTATGCTGCAAATTTGACTAGGGAGTGATAAAGTTGGTGTTTTCTACTATATATTATCTAAATATTCATTGTTAATATTTTAAACCTATAACACCCTGCTACATTTTTATTATTTGTGTTTGATAAGAAAAAAACTAAGATATCAATAGTTGGGCCAACTGAAGTGGGAAGGGGCTCGTAAATGCCAGAGTACAAAAGTAAAGGTTACTGGTTAAAATATATCTGTAATTCCTCCTTTTCAGATTCGTACCATATCGTTATTTGGCTTGCGTCAACCATGTCTTACAATTGCTGTTACGCTACCGCAAGTACCGCCCATTCACGCAATAATAGCGCCAGCACCGCCCATTGCTGTCGCCCTGCCCTCAGCTCGTTTCAGCTCCGTCTCTAACCATGCTCAAATCGCTGGAAGATTACGTCTCTGAGATGGAGCAGAGGGGTGACGCTAACGCGGGCCGAGAGGGGCGCGTAGATGCCTCGCAGGTGGCTCCGCAGGACCTGTGGGCGCAGTTGCAACAGAAAGAGAATGACTTGGTGCTTGCCGCTGAACTGGGGAAGGCGTTGTTGGAGAAGAACGATGAACTCAAGAAGCAGCAGGAGCAGATTGTGGAGGAGTACAGTAAGAAGTTGGAGGTGAGTGTCAGATTTATTCATTCATTTTTTACAAAATGAAAAGGTCATTGTAGAATATATATTCAATCATGATCTTTATCTTAATTATTTTGAGATTAAACTTTTAATGGCTCACCTCTGGCCCTGCAAAGATTATCCACGACTTAGCGATACATGCGTTAACATACTATTATTGATATGATGGTATAATCAAGGGTCTGAAATTCTCCTTCAAGTTTAAGCTTTATAAAGTGTTGTTTCTTTTTTGAATTGGTATTGAAACTACACTCTTCAATAATATGTAATCCTCGATACTTTGTTCAATAGAATACACCTTTCGATTATTTATGAAAAACAATTTCAGTTAAATGGCTGCCGCGGCTGGCCTAGCAGTAGTCCATCCTCTTAGCCCAATCTTGATGCACATTTTCGATAGTTTGTCGGTCTATTTCATCAATAGCTCGACGGATATTTTCCTTAAGAACATCAATTACTTGAGGATCGTTAGTGTAACAGCGGTCCTTAACAGTACACCATACGAAGTAATCCATGGGCGTCAAATCACAGCTGCGGGCTAGTAAACGAACGTCTCCAAAAAGGCTGATAACGCGATGACCGAACTTAGTGTGTAAAAGATCGCTTGTTTCACGGCTGGTGGGGCATGTTGCGCCATGCTCCTGGTACCAGAGGTAGAGCCAGTGCAAGTCGTCTAATACTGACCACAAAAAACTCCTCATCATGTCTCTATATAGCGTTCCCAGTTTACAGTCACAGTGTTACCATCTTCATCTTGAAAAAAGTAGGGACCAATAGTCCCACCACTCCAAAAGTCACACCAAACAGTTACACTTTTTGGATGCATTGTTTGTCTATGACGACATGTGGATTTTCAGAACCCCAAATCCTAAGGTTCTGCTTGTTAACGTAACCCCCAGATGGAAATCGACTTCGGTCGAAAAGATGATTTGGCGACCAAAATTGACGTCCGTTTCCAATTGATTAAGAGCCCACACAGAAAAGCGATATCGAACCGGATGTCATTTTACTTTAAAATGAAAGATTAGGATGTAACTTGCCCAAAAAATCACTTTTTCTTTAAGGAACCCTTGCTATTTTATAGAACTTCCAAGTTGCATTTTTGGTGTTAATACTCTAGAATGGAATACTGTTTTATACGCTTTTTTGCTTTTTGCACAAAATGATGCTATAAATTATAAGAATATAGCATGTTCTGTATAGAACTAAGGAAAATAGATGTAAAACTGTGAAAAATCCCTATTTTTTGCAAAAAAGGTTCAAAATCAGCTAAAATAATAGTTCAAAATACATACGTAAATGGTGGTATTTACTTGGTAAACTGTGTAGAGGTGTTGCGTTGTGATTTTTTAAAGTCTTCTTGAAATTCCTTAACCTTTTTTTTTCGCGTATTTTTAATGAGATCAAAGTTTTTGCGTTTATAAGAAATATTTGAAAGTACAATTCTCAATGACCATTTTATAACGTTCATTTTTTGACAGATAAGATAAATGATGTCCATTGTTGCCAAGTTGTACCTTTTTTGGGAGAAATACTTATACTAAGTGACATATAAATCCGAACACCCAGTTTAAATGGTTTTATTTTAATAAAAGTTGGTGAATGTATTTATCTTACTGTAAATAACAAGTGAACAAATTTTGACATCCTTTACGATCGGTTACGATGCCTAGAGTACGGAGACCTGTACGATTTCGTCAACTTAGTGAGTTTGATAGGGGCCGTATAGTGGGACTTCGGGAAGCTGGACTTTCTTTTCGGACAATTGCAGTTAGAGTGCAAAGAAGTGTAGACACTGTGGTTAGGTGTTGTCAGGCATGGCTTCGAGAAGGCCGTACGCAAAGAGCAAGGGGCACTGGACGCCGCCGTAGAACAACAGACCGTGAAGATCGCCGCCTAAGATTATTGGCCTTAAGGGACCGTTTCTCCACTACCAGGTCCATTGCAAATGAATGGTTTGCAGAACACGGAAGACCTATTGGCATGCGAAGTGTTTACCGACGAATGATAAGTTTTGGCTTGTTTTCATACCGGCCACACTGGGTCCTCCCTTTAACTCGAGAACACCGACGTAATCGCCTTGAGTGGTGCAGACAACGGTCACTCTGGGATCAGGAATGAAACAGTATTGTCTTTAGTGACGAGTCTCGATTTTGTTTAGGCATGCACGATGGTCGTGCCAGGGTTAGAAGGCGACGTGGTGAAAGGAGGAATCCACAGTTTTTTGTTGAAAGACATGTTCATCACACTGTTGGAGTTATGGTTTGGGGTGCTATAGCTTATGGGTCCAGGTCTCCTTTAATCTTCATCAGAGGTAACATGAACGCGCAGCGTTATATCCACGAAGTTCTAGAACCCCATCTTTTACCCTATCTTGACACCCTGGCAGATCCAACTTTCCATCAAGATAATGCCGACCACATGTTGCAAGAGTCACAATAGACTTCTTTCAACATAATGATGTCACATTGTTACCATGGCCACCAAGATCTCCCGACTTATCCCCAATTGAGCACGTGTGGGATATGATGGGTAGGAGATTGCTCAATTTGCAACGTCCTCCTCAGACTCTAGAAGCACTTCGAGAGGAGTTGGTGGTTGCCTGGAATGAGATACCACAGGAGGACATTGACCACCTGATCAGAAGCATGCCTAGGCGCGTTGGAGAATGCGTAGCACATCAGGGTGAATCCACACATTATTAAAGGTCAAAGGGCTTTAAAGCAGTGTAATCATTTTGAAATTTTTATCATTTACTTATTATGCTTGATTAAGTACTTATACAAAATTTTATTAAAATAAAACCATTTAAACTGGGTGTTCGGATTTATATGTCACTTAGTATAATTAGAAATGAGGTTATTTGCAAAATAAAGGTCTTAATTTATTGTAAATGGCTTGTTTTATGAAAAGTTGTCCCAATATTTACCGAAAACGAGATGAACTTTTGAACAGTATGTGTCTAAACAGTGGAAAATGCACCAGCGGCTCGCGTGACATAAAAAATACATAAGGCACCGGCGCTCATTGCATATAAAAATACCCAACGTCGATTCGTCGATTTGGACCACCTCGCCAGGTACACCCAACATATCATCGTCCAACATTATAGTTAAATAAAGACCAAGCATCATTTCATCAAATCATTAAAAAACTTGCAATGTTCTTTGTTATGTTTTCATTATTTAATGATTGGCAACAGCTACTTTTTCAGTTATTTCTCATATATATACAGGTATATATCACATTTAATTTTTCTAAGACCGTCTAGTAATTTCATTTATACTTATTTGAGGGGTCTGGTCTTATAATGGGTGATTTTTTTGCTAGTATCTTTTTGGCAACACTGTTTTTGACAGATGACGCGTGAATCGTGTCTTGTGTCATTGTCAAACTTGTTCAGTTTTTCCTATAATTTAACCACGAATCGACTTACGAACGAACAACGCTTGCAAATTATTGAATTTTACTATCAAAATTCATGCTCGGTTAAGAGAGTGCATCGAGCACTGCTTCCAATTTATGGGCAATTTGGTCGGCCTACTGAGGGAGCTATTATGTTGGACCAATGAATTTACACGAATTTTATGGGTAAAATAAATTATTTTTCACCAAATGAAATTCCAGTTGAACCTAACATAACTGAAATATGACAGATGACTATTTTACTTTTTAGAATAAAATCTGTTAATTTGCAAAAGGTTGAATCCAAAATGAGTTCACAAAACGTCAAAGAGCAGACAAAACAAACACATCAAAAAATGGAACTGCCAAACAAGATCGACAGTCAAACGTCAAAAATTAGTTTAACCTGCGCATGGGTATGTTACGATTATGCGGGCTATAAACTGCAATTGCAAAAACAGAAGAGTTACGTTATGTTATGACTATGTTTGTCCTATGCTTGTCGGTTTTAGCGTATTTGTTCAGTTAAAGGGCAATCACTATTGATGTATTTAAGACATTTGGTGTTTTGGTTGGTCTGAGTCTGAGTCGGAGCGACAGCTTAGCAGTTCGACAGACAGAGAACGAACAAATGAGACAGGCTACTCTTCTAAACTGAAGAAGAAAATTGAAGCTAACTTTGATAGCACATGAGACATAGTGGCAAATGTATCAATAAAGTTATTTATCGTATATCATCCGTCCGTCGATTTATGCGGAAGTGCATGCTCGAATCTCAGCATTTTCTGAAGCAGTTTTGGCGAAGTTCAGGTTTTTGTTTTTTATCGAAACAATTTTTGGTTGTTGATTTTTTTGAAATCGTCTTGTTTCAATGAGAGTGGAAGTTCTGTCGTGTCCATTATTTGTAAGCTTAATTTGAAGACAGATTTACACTAATAAGGCGAAACTGCAACAGCAGCTTGTTTACAAATTGTGAATCTACTCAAGCATATTAAAATTAACGTTTCAATTAACGTGTAATGGTTAAAGTTCTGAAACTATGATAATTTATTGTATGAGATGGTAGTGACTAAAACTTGTTATTTGAAATTCCGTCTTTATTAATTGTTGACCATTACTAACAGGTTATTCTATCAAGTCTCTGAACTACTCATATTTTAATAATACCTAACAAACATACGAACACTGGATATTGTAGTAAATATTGAACAGCTGTCACACCTTACATTATTATCGTTATTACTAGGGAAACAGAATACAAACGTTTTCTAAGACCGTCTAGTAATTTCATGTATACTTATTTGAGGGGGTCTGGTCTTATAATGGGTGATTTTTTTGCTAGTATCTTTTTGGCAACACTGTTTTTGACAGATGACGCGTGAATCGTGTCTTGTGTCATTGTCAAACTTGTTCAGTTTGGTCTATAATTTAACCATGAATCGACTTACGAACGAACAACGCTTGCAAATTATTGAATTTTACTATCAAAATTCATGCTCGGTTAAGAGAGTGCATCGAGCACTGCTTCCAATTTATGGGCAATTTGGTCGGCCTACTGAGGGAGCTATTATGTTGGACCAATTAATTTACACGAATTTTATGGGTAAAATAAATTATTTTTCACCAAATGAAATTCCAGTTGAACCTAACATAACTGAAATATGACAGATGACTATTTTACTTTTTAGAATAAAATCTGTTAATTTGCAAAAGGTTGAATCCAAAATGAGTTCACAAAATGTCAAAAAGCAGACAAAACAAACACATCAAAAAAGGGAACTGCCAAACAAGATCGACAGTCAAACGTCAAAAATTAGTTTACACTGCGCATGGGTATGTTACGATTATGCGGGCTATAAACTGCAATTGCAAAAACAGAAGAGTTACGTTATGTTATGACTATGTTTGTCCTATGCTTGTCGGTTTTAGCGTATTTTTTCAGTTAAAGGGCAATCACTATTGATGTATTTAAGACATTTGGTGTTTTGGTTGGTCTGAGTCTGAGTCGGAGCGACAGCTTAGCAGTTCGACAGACAGAGAACGAACAAATGAAGAAGAAAATTGAAGCTAACTTTGATAGCACATGAGACATAGTGGCAAATGTATCAATAAAGTTATTTATCGTATTTCATCCGTCCGTCGATTTATGCGGAAGTGCATGCTCGAATCTCAGCATTTCCTGAAGCAGTTTTGGCGAAGTTCAGGTTTTTGTCTTTTATCGAAACAATTTTTGGTTGTTGATTTTTTTGAAATCGTCTTGTTTCAATGAGAGTGGAAGTTCTGTCGTGTCCATTATTTGTAAGCTTAATTTGAAGACAGATTTACACTAATAAGGCGAAACTGCAACAGCAGCTTGTTTACAAATTGTGAATCTACTCAAGCATATTAAAATTAACGTTTCAATTAACGTGTAATGGTTAAAGTTCTGAAACTATGATAATTTATTGTATGAGATGGTAGTGACTAAAACTTGTTATTTGAAATTCCGTCTTTATTAATTGTTGACCATTACTAACAGGTTATTCTATCAAGTCTCTGAACTACTAACATTTTAATAATACCTACCAAACATACGAACACTGGATAGTGTGGTAAATATTGAGCAGCTGTCACACCTTACATTATTATCGTTATTACTAGGGAAACAGAATACAAAATTTTTCTAAGACCGTCTAGTAATTTCATTTATACTTATTTGAGGGGTCTGGTCTTATAATGGGTGATTTTTTTGCTAGTATCTTTTTGGCAACACTGTTTTTGACAGATGACGCGTGAATCGTGTCTTGTGTCATTGTCAAACTTGTTCAGTTTGGCCTATAATTTAACCATGAATCGACTTACGAACGAACAACGCTTGCAAATTATTGAATTTTACTATCAAAATTCATGCTCGGTTAAGAGAGTGCATCGAGCACTGCTTCCAATTTATGGGCAATTTGGTCGGCCTACTGAGGGAGCTATTCGGAAGCTTGTGACTAAATTTCGAACCCAGTTTACATTATTGGAGATTAAACCACCAACACGCAGACGTAGAGTGAGGACTGAAGAAAATATTGCGACTGTATCCGCCAGTGTTAGTGATGACCGTGAAATGTCGATTCGCCGCCGTTCGCAGCAATGCAAGAATTGAAGCCACACGACCTCCCACAATGTTTCCAATTTGGTGAATGGGCGCTGGCAAAGTTTGAGGAAGATCCACATTTTTATCGAAAAATTGTGTTCAGCGACGAAGCTCATTTCTGGTTGAATGGGTACGTTAACAAGCAAAATTACCGCATCTGGAGTGAAGACCAGCCAGAAGCATTGCAAGAGCTACCAATGCATCCCGAAAAAATCACTTCTTCAAAGACGACAATGGCCGGGACGTAACTGTGAATGGCGGGCGCTACCGTGCGATGATAACAAACTTTTTTTTGCCCAAAATGGAAGAGCTTGACTTGGTTGACATGTGCTTTCAACAAGACGGTGCCACATGCCACACCGCACACGAAACAATGGCCCTATTGAGAGGCGAGTTCGGTGAACAGTTTATTTCACGTTTGGGGCCCGTCAATTGGCCGCCTTGATCGTGTGATTTAACGCCGTTGGACTATTTCTTGTGGGGCCATGTTAAGGCTAATGTCTACAGGGATAAACCAGCAACGATTGACGCACTGGAAGCCAATATTGAAGCATTTATTCGTGAGATACCGGCCGATATGTTGGAGAGACTGTGCCAAAATTGGACCTTGCGCATGGGCCATCTAAAGCGGAGCCGCGGCCAACATTTACATGAAATAATCTTTAAACATTAAATTATATCGACTGTTTTATCGACTCAAATAAAGATTTAATCGTTTTTTCAAATTTTTTGTGTTTTTTTTGAAAATCAAATCCTATACCTCTTAAAAAAATCACCCGTTAGGTACTGTTTAGCATGAAATCCATATGCACACATCGATGACCTAACATACTATCTAATTTTGCATGCAAAATCCATCCTCACTACAGTTCTGCAGCTCTGTCCAAGTGTACCGTTCGTAGAACATGTTTTGCGTAACCCAACTGACACAGAACTCAAAATGCTGACCATCGTACGAGGGTGGTCTGAAAAGATTCATACCTAACAAAGGTACAGGACATTTTTTCTGATTTTTTTTTCTTATTTTTCAACATAATCTCCTTGTAAGTCTACACGCTTCTCCCAGCGATGCTCCCATCTCTGTAACCCGCCCAAACAGGACTCGACGCCTTTCTCTGCAAAATTATTGTTCACGAAGGTGATTGCCTCTTCATTTGACGAAAACCTGTCCTCCGAGCGCAATTTTTATTTTGGTGTATAATGTATGATGGTGTATCCAAGTTTCATCTACTGCAATTAATAGGCGCCAAAACTCGGGTTTATTGCGCCTGAACAGCGACAACAGAGCGTTGGAAATGTTCATTCGAACACGTTTTTGGTCTAACGTGAACAAACGCGGCACCCAACGCTTTCTGATTCGTAAATGTTTGTTTAATATTTAACAAACACGTTCTTTTGACATGTTCATAACCTCTGCCATCTCTCTCACTTTAACTCGGCGGTCGTCTAGCACCATTTTATGAACTATGGCGATGTTTTCGTCGGTAGTTACAGTTTTTGGACGTCCCGAACATTCATGGTCTCCCAAGCTCTTACGGCCACGTTTATGTTCAGCTGTCCAAAATTTCACTGTGGTAAGGGGCCGTTCAAGTATTACGTAAGCAGATTTATTACAGTTATTTACCCCCCCCCCATCCCCCTCGTCAGCTAAAGTAAGCAAAGCTCTTACCCCCTCCCCCCATGCTTACGTAAACATTTGTCAATTAATGTATTGTTTTTTTTTTAATATTATAATTATAACGTTATAATTATTATTTGAAAAATAAGAAAATAGGTTTAGGATAGAGATTATATTTTACTGATACGGTATTCAACATAGAATAAAGGACAAAAATATTAATCTTACTAACATAAGAAACTTATTTTAAATTTTTGGTACATATATTAAATTCAAATTAACAGTCTTCAGTCCATGAAACCCGAATCCATGATTCTAAGTTTTCGATGACATTGGATTGCTTCGATTGCTGCTCAGTGTTGTGAGTTTGCTCGCTTTCATCGGATTTTGGAATGTCTACGTCGTTCTCATCGAGCCATTCAATATCATGGTGCTCTAAATTTTGAATAATGCACATCAGTTCATTAGCACGACGAGCAGCGACTCTTACAGGTCTAACTTTCCTATCAGTGTGCGTGTTTACTTTTTTATGGATATTTTCTATGTGACGATTTAGTGACTTGACGGAAGCATGATAAAGACCACACGTTTTGCTTGTTCGACTTGATAGCCTCAATTTTACCGTCGAACAAAAATAATCGTAGGGCATTTGCAGGAAATCTTTGAGTGAAGCACTAGCGTAGAGCTAAATTGACTGGAAGGTTAAGAAATTGCCCTCCTTCATCCAAAACCAAGTCATCAACTGTTTGTTTTACTTTTACAGGTGGTGGAAGAAACCTATTATCTAGTAATCTAAATAGGCCACTTCTTAGACGACAGCATCCTGTATTTCTACATTTTACAATTTGAAGGAAGTATTGGCTCTCACGCATATGTTCTGAATACCATTTAATGTCTGGAAAATCAGGAAAATCTTGTTCACCTGCCCCAACATTATTATTATTATTATTATTAACATTATAGCCATCAATTTCCATTGAACTCCATACTTCAGCTTCCTGCAAATTCGAAATTAGATGTTTCTAAATGTTCATCAATTGTAACGCCACGTTCATCCAAATGAAACCTAAAATGGTCATGAGGCAATATTAAACCAGCCACTTCCCGCTAAGAGGAGCCATTCTGCGCTCTACTCTGTTGTACGCACTTCCTCCAGGAGCATTGTTAGATAAAGACAATGCATCGAGATCATGTCGCTTAAATTGTTGTATAGCAAACCCTATGACTTTTTGATAACGTGGATTTTCATCTGGCCCTTCATCAACCGTCATGATTACCACTGGTTTTACTAGTCCATGGTCAGTTTTAGCTAATGGTCGAAACTCTTCAAGTTCGAGAAGCATCTCGAAATCCTGAGCATGAGTCTTAGCAGTAGATGAACTATGCTTTTCACTTCGAATAGCGATGTATGTTGGTCCAGAATATCCAACGGCTTGCGGTTGTCCTAGCATATTGGAAGTGATTTTGATACCAGCATAAACAGATGGTATTAATTTATGACGCTCAGCGATTACCCAATCGTGATCAGGCAATTTGATTCTATATTCCATGTGCATTAGAAGAGGTGCTTGCTTATTTGTCGGAGTTACGCCAATAGGGACTCGAGCTTTATCCTCTTGAGATATGAGCCCGAATGAGCTTAACAGGGACTGTCGATTTATGTCTTCGTCCCTCTGCAGAATTATGTTTTCTGGGAACCAAACGAAGATATGTCCCACTGCGACTAATGTCAAATCCTATTTTACGTAATTCTTGTGTGAGTTCATCAAGAGTTTTTACGCTGCGAATTGATTCCGTTCGTCTTCTATCATCTGCTGCACTCCCAAATAAAGCTATATCCGCGATTGTTTTCAATAGTGAATGCTGATTGCTTTCAAGATTAGGACGTACGACTGAATCCCTCAGAGATAGTCTTTTTTTTATTTCTGGATTTTCATGACAAATATCTTCCAACTTTCTTTTCATACCATCCCTGCGTTTCTTCTGGGCAACTGCGTTTTGAACCTTCCTGTTTAAAGACTGTTTTGCTGTTTTTATTTCCTCGCTCAACTTAATGATCTGTTTATCAACTTCAGCACGGCTTGGCATAGTATCTCTGGCAGAATACAAAGCATTCAGATTTTTTTCGAGTAGAGCAGTCTTATTTTTCATAGCTTCCTGAGAAGGTTTTGCTCTCTGTTTATTTCTATTTTCATTAATTTCGCATTGCTGTTGTGATTCATTACCAGGTTTTATTTTATCTTCTTCCTCTTTTTTAATATTTAAAGCTGACTGTATAATTTGTGTTTTTTCTGCAGGTTTACAGGTTGCCTAAAAATAAAAACTTTCTATGGCTTCTGCTAAAGATTCTCTTATTAAGCTACATAAATACAAAGTATGGCAATATATATGGTAAATACAAAACCTTATGGCTTTAAATCTAATATGTTTAAACGAGCAATTCGTTCCGGTCACAAAATACAGGGTGTTAGTTTCCTGTATATATGTATAACACTAACGTCCTGTACTTTGTGACCAATTGACGGAATCAATCATAAGAAATAAATCTATAATATAATGAATATTACCTCTATACTTTGAGATAGGCCATAAAATTTTCTAATCAGTAAAGAGAAACTTTTTGGCGATTTCTAATATTTCTAGTACTCATAGGTATCTAAAATGATTTCGTCACTCACCTTAGAAAAAAAATTTAGTAGATTGGATTTATTCTTAGTCGCCGCTTGCAATTCTTCTTCGATTCTCTTAGATACAATAATATCTAGTACCTTGTCGGATTTTGCTTGTAATTTGTAATTTCGCCACACTCCGTTAACTAACTTTTGTACATTTTGTACTTTCGTATGAGATTTTTTAAAACTTTCAAACAATTTTTGGGATAACTTGGATTTGTCTATGTGAAACGACATCTTATTTAAACATTAAACTTTGGCTAATGGAATCAATGGTAACACAAATGTTGACTTGCTTTACTATGCTTACAATACGTCTACTCGCTATAGTATCCAAACGAAACAATAATCTGATAGATGAAATTTAGACAAGTTAACACCGCGCGGTAATTCCCCTACTCGGTTCTAAAGCGAGTAGGGGAATTACCGCGCGCTGTTCACTAAACGTTTGCATTATTTGCGGGAATCTCCGAAAATGCGTTTCGTTTTCAAGCAGAGACAATGTGAGGGTTGCCATTCGTGAAAAAAAGTAAATAACTACCGATGACGTAATCATCATCTAGACCCCCTACCCCCCATGTCATCCAAAATAAGCAAAGCAAAGAGCCCCCCGCCCCCCCATAGTGCTCACGTAATACTTGAACGGCCACTAAGTGATGGTGCAGATTCCCCATACACAGAATCCAACTCATCTTGGATTTGCGTAATCGTATTGCTTTTCAGATACAAATATTTAATGACAACGAAATTCGCTAGCCTTTATTTACGAGCGCTGCCATCTTCACGTTGAGGTCGGAAAGTATTCAGACCACCCTCGTATAACGTATACATAAATACCATGAATTATTTAATGGGCGATAAATTATTAGGCTGAATATCTCTGCGAAACATACATTGCAGTTGCAATCTGCAAGTTATAGTCGGACGTGATACCGATATGGGTTGAATGAATCCTGCGCTAGTCGATGTCGATACAGTCAGGTGGTTTGTAATGTTTTTATAACATGCATGCGGATCTTGATGTTAGTTCCGGGTTGGTGAAGGTTGGCACATTGTCATGAGCGTCGTCAAAGTAATCAAGAGGAGGACAAGACAACAGACGCAGCTCATCGACCAATCGATTATTCTGACCCTTGGCCGTCGGCGATCAGGCTCTCCTCTACCGCTATGTCCTCGGGCTTTGCTCCCCAGAAATCTTCTCCATGATTCCGCTGCGAGAAGAGCCTGCCAGGCAGACCCGCACGGGTATCATGTAAAAAACCTATAAAACGTAAAAAAAACCTATGTCAACTTGCAGACTAGGTAGTTCTTAGGGCGCAAACAGTCATTCCACGTTTGCTCACTAGGATCGTTGTGAACGTCCATCTATGGAGGAATCACTCAACTAAACTACGCATTATTGGTTGCATAGTTTTGCAGTTTTATTTTGATTTTCTTGGGGCATGTGGAGTCATGTTATATTCATCGTATCTAAAGTGTTTATATTGTAAAATGACGGATTGACGGACAGCTTTTAAATGGAATGGGGTCACGTGATACATCATTTTGAAGCTCCGGCACGGGTATTATGTATCTTGAAAAGTGACATTATCTTGATTTTTTTGACATTATATTGGATTTTTGTGACATTATGTAGAAAGAAAGAAAAATAAATACGTACTGAATAGGTTTTTTGCTTGTTATGATTTTAAATGGAAATATGCAGGTGTACAAATACTTTTGAACGGTAGTGGACATCTATATATAATTGGTACAATCATTCCTTCGTTCCTATGTATTGATATTGTAGGAAAATTTATCTATTTAAGCGTTTCCTTTGCATCTGCTTGATTATTAACAAAACCGATTATCAGTTCAATTAAACACTACATTCAAAGTAAAATCTTAAGAACTGGAACAATAGGTAAATTTCATAAACTAACCTACGAGGGATGTCTTTTAAGTTTTGCATATGGAAATAAAACAACGAAGCATCAGTCGACAATTTCCCGTTGGTATCGAGAATTCAAACGTGGACGGGTGAGTCTTAGCGACGATTCCAGGGTGGGTGCACCAAAAACGGCAGTCACCCAGGAAAACGTCGATGCTGTGCGCAAACTCATCATTGAAGATAGTCATGTGACATATCGCGAGATTGAAGACATGAAGAATTAGGAGCAAGAAAATTAGTTTTTAGTTGGATACCCCACCTGTTGACTGAAGAGCAGAAAGCAGCCAGGGTTAATTGGTGTCAACAAACGCTTGACAGTTTCAATTCCGGAAACTCAGAAAATGTGTACAGCATTGTTAGTGAATGAATCGTGGATTTACTGTTATGAACCAGAAAATAAACGACAGTCGGCTATTTGGGTGTTCCAAGGTGAAGAAAAGCCAACAAAAGCCATGCGTTCTCGAAGTGTTTCGAAAAAGATGATCGCGACATTTGTGTCAAAAGCGGGTCATATTGCAACAATTCCTCTTAATGAGCAAAGAACTGTTACTGCGGATTGGTATACCACCATTTGTTTGCCAAAAGTCATCACCGAGCTTCGAAAAATCAATCCCGAAAGACGAATCATCCTGCACCAAGACAGTGCAAGCTCGTACACAGCCCAAAAAACAAAACAGTATTTAACGGAAGAAAACGTGGAATTATTGGATCATCCTCCATATAGTCCCGATCTAAGTCCTAACGATTTCTTCACTTTCCCGAAAACTAAAAACAGACTGCGTGGTCAAAGGTACCAGTCACCAGAAGAAGCAGTTGACGCATTCAAAAATGCCGTTTTGGATCTGCCAGCAAACGAGTGTAATAAGTGCTTCGAAAATTGTTTCAAGCGCATGTAGATGTGTATTAATATTCGTGGAGAACACTTCGAAAAACAATACAGTGGACCTCCGGTAATCCGACAAACATTATGCAGGGCAGTGTCGGACTATCGAATTTGTCGGATTATAGAGCACTGCCTAAGACCCGCTATAGTCCAGAATTTTTTACAAAAGAGTACCATGTAATCCGACAAATTACATATCCAATGGTAAGATTATATATGTTATGTATATGTATCTACTTTGAAGTACAAATCATACATAGTTTATGTATGTCGAATTTAGTAAATTAAATAACAATAGAGAGCTTACGTTTTATTATAAAATTAAGCTTAAATGCACATACATATGTACCAAAATAATCAAGAATTATAAATCAAAATCATTAATGACTTTATCAAATTATGAAGCTTGGAAATGTTCATCAATTTTTTTTTGTTTAAGGTTGTTATAACGCGAGATCAGAGCTTTGTCCCTCAGTCTTCTCAAAAGTAAAAGTTCGTTGTAGGATGTACCATTCTCTTCAGCCCATTGTAAACTTAGCTCAAAGGCGTTAATTGCGTCTTGTGATGTGACTTGTGGAACAGTTGCAATCGCGTCGTCGTTATTTTCCTGATTTGTTGTAAAACCTCTTTTATAATCTCTTCATCAGACATTTCATGAAAAACATTTTCCTCTTTATCCATTCCACGGCACCAGATTTCCAAATATTCCGGACTTATCTGTGTTTCAGTAGCGACTTGTTCTATAACTTCCGAAGTAACACTGATTTGTGGAACGTTGCTAGGAGTGGTGACTATATCTTTCCATAACTTTTTCCAAGACGATTTAGTAGTTGATGACAACTGACGACTGACAAAGAGCAAAAACCAAGTCTTTCATACATATTAAATTCTTTTAAAGTTTTTTCTGTTGGTTGGTTTTTTTATACATCTCTCAGAAGTAGATTTTTCTTATAGTCTTGCTTGACAAACTGAATGATATTCTAGTCCATTGGATGAATCAGTGTAGTCCAATTTGGCGGAAGAAACATCCCAGTAATGCATTTATCCTCAGTTGTTAGTTCTTCTTCAGACGGATGACCGGGAGCGTTATCAAGAAGCAACAACGCCTTTTGAGGAAAATTATGATCTTTTAAAACTTCAGGTACGAAACATTCATCAAACCACTTTTTTAAAATGTCTTTTGTCATCCATGCACTTTTTTGTCCGTAATAGTGTACAGGTAAATCAATGTTTTTGAATGCCCGTGGTTTATTAGATTTACCAATGACCATCATCTTAAGCGCGTGAGTGCCCGCAGCGTTAGCACATGGTAGTATGGTTACACGCTCTTCACTTACTTTTCGTCCAGGTACGGATTTTTCGTTACAAGAAACGAAAGTTTTGTTAGGCATCACACGCCAAAAAAGCCCTGATTCGTCTGCATTGTACACCTGTGACGGGTCAAGATTTAAATCGTTCACCTTTTGCAAAAATCTTAATTTAAAGAGTGCTATGCAGGTGGCATCGTTAGTTCCTCTCCTGTAATAGTCATTAAACGTATACCATGACGACTTTTAAAACGTTCTAGCCATCCTTTGCTGGCCACAAAATCATCTTTTTTGTTATTTCCTTATAAAAAAACTTAGCTTTCATGGCCAACATGGGTCCTGAAATTGGTGCATGCCTATTTCTTTCCTGAAGAAACCACATGTACAAAGCTTCTTCCACTTCTGGATGTTCAGCTTTCTCTCTTGCCTGGCCCGCAGTCAGTAGTTGACACGAACTTCTTGATCTTCTCGTGGTTTCTTTTAATGTCATAAATTATAGATCGGCCTACGCCGTGTATTCACTTGCTAAACTACTGAAAGTTTCATTGCGATTTAAGCGGTCTAAAATATGACATTTTTCTTTAATTGTCAATGTTTTGTGCTTTCACTTCGGAGTTTGTGATGACATTACTAGGTATTATACTTAATACACAATGAATAAATAGTAAACAATAAACGCACGCTAGGCCGTACCGTACCAGTAGTCAAATTCAAACTAAGTAAAACAATGCTTACGCGTCGAGCACGATAGCGGTGGCGCGTACAAGTTGTAACCTGTTCAAACCTGCGTGATCTACATTAGCGAAGATTGTCAAATACGTATGTATGTAAAACATATTCAAAGACATGTCGGATTACAGGGGGCGCCGGATTAGACAGGGGCCGGATTATCGGGGGTCCACTGTAGTCATTTAAACTACCTACCGTGTTGTTTTATTTCAATATGCAAAACTTAAAAGACATCCCTCGTATCCCAAAATAGATAATGAATCGGGTTGCCAAGGCGGAACTGTTCTCTGATTCTGTCGTGTCGCAAGTAGTTGAAATAATTATATTTATGTTTTAGATATTACATAAAGAAGACACAAAACGAAACAATCTAATTAGTAAATGTATTTCTACTTGAGCTACTTGGAACTTACAACACATTTTTTTCTATATTGCGCGAACAATCTACGGATATCCATCAAAGCAAAAACTAACATCATAAACGTTAATGACTTCTCCAATACCATTGTCTCAATCGGTCATAACGTGTCTGCTATTACTCACTTGAACAGTGAAAGGATTTTAAATGGACTACCATGTGGTGGCTTTGGATTATTACGTCAGTTTTGGATTTGCCGCCTCGCAAGGCAATTACAGATTACAGAATTGAATGTTTTATGTTTCATGGTTTTTACGTCTTCGATATTGAACTATATAGATATGGTTTTAAAATATAGAATGTAGCAAGGACGTCAGCACATACAGTTATTGTTGTTGGGGACCATTTAGCATTACGTAAAAGCACTAAAGGGAGGCGGAAGAGGGGGGTGGCCTTTGCTTTAATAATAATAATAACACTGGACAACAAATTTTAGTTTTTTAATTGTATCTTGTGGGAAAAGTGCACTTCTTTGTTAATTTTGGGGCGCTGAATCCAAAAATGACAATGAAATAAAAAAAATAGTTGCGGTTTAGAAAAAAAACTTTTTATTTTTAAGGATATATTAAAAAAAGTAACAAGATTCATATACTTATAAGAATCACTATATGCGCTGCCTTTTTGCTGTTCTTTTATGGATCGTTTCTGGAGCAACTCTACCAAGAGTTCAACAATAGTCTGCAAGCATGGAAGGATTCCACTTTCCCTGGTACCTTTTTTCCATTGTTGAAATATCCTGATGAAAACGTTCGCCGTGCTCATCACTTACGGCTCCGCAATTGTCAGGAAAAAAGTCCAGGTGTGAGTGTAGGAAATGTATCTTAAGAGACATATTACAGCCCATCTTTTGATACGATGACAGCATATTTTTGACAAGGGTTTTATAGTTGTCAGCTTTTCTATTTCCCAAGAAATTAGTGACCACCAGACGGAAATCATTCCAAGCAGCTTTTTCAAGACGCGTTAAAGTGTTTTCAAACTGTGTATCTATTAAAATATTTCGAATCTGTGGCCCAACAAAAATACCTTCTTTAACTTTTGCCTCACTTAGTCTTGGAGATTTCTGACGCAGGTATTGAAAAGCTGACCCATCTCTATCTAATGCCTTGACAAAGTTTTTCATTAGGCCCAACTTGATATGCAGTGGTGGTAATAAATTTTTTTTCGAATCTACTAATGGCATATGCTGTACATTTTTTTGACCTGGCTCTAGGAATTGACGAATAGGCCAGTTTTGTCTGGTGTAATGAAGTGCCTTTGCCCGACTGTCCCATTCACACAAAAAACAGCAAAACTTTGTGTAGCCTAGCTGCAGCCCAAGTAAAAGTGCAACAACTTTCAAATCGCCACAAATATGCCATTGGTGCTCATCGTATTTTATGCATGTCAATAGGTACTTCATATTGTCATATGATTCTTTCATGTGAACTGCATACCCTACAGGAAGAGATGGTAAAATATTTCCAATATGCACTAACACTGCCTTTAAACTCAATGTTGAACTGTCTATAAACAATTTCCATTCTTCTGGGTTATAGTTTATATTTAAAGCTGCCAGTAAGCCGTTAATGTTACTGCAGAAAACCAAGTTATTCTCCATATTGAAAAATGGTTCTAAGTCTTTGTGGCGTTTACGAAAAACACATACCGAAACATCGTCTTCTAACAAGTTCCACTGCTGCAGTCTTGATCTAAGTAACTCTGCCTTACATTTTGGAAGTTCTAAATCTCTTACAAGATCATTTAATTCTGACTGTGTTATTTTGTGCGGTTGGTGGCATGACGTGCTTGGTATAAAATCAGGATCTCTTGACGTTGATGGCATATCTTCTTCCTGACTAATCACTCGATCGCCATGATCTGATTCGCAAGTGTAGGATTCTGGGGGTTTTGGAATAGGATTTTCGTCACTGTGAGGCACAGGTCTCATCGCAGATGGTATGTTTGGGTAGTTAATAACCGATTTTTTTTTCTTGCACATACCTGTGGCTTGTCCAACACAAGGTACCATGCAAAAGTAACAATCATTAATATGATTTGTAGGCTCTCTCCAAACCATTGGGACAGCAAAGCGCATAGACCGTTTTTTGCCATTTAACCAGCTCCTCAGACTTGAAGCACATGTATTACAGCAGATGTGGGGTGCCCACTGTTTGTCTTGATCACCTAGTTTACAACCGAAATAAAGCTGACATGCCTTTGTTATTAGTGGAGTAATAGACCGTCTCTGAGACGCAAAAGTCACGTCACCACACACGTAACAAAACTGATCTGGATTCTTTACACACTTTCGAGACATCTTGCATGAACGCTGTCAGCCAACTGAGGAAAAAATGGCTAATATAAAACAATATAATGTACACGTATGTATAACGTAACACAATCATGCCGATTACATCATCTTTCCTTGCCGAATATAAAAATGTAGCACGTGCATTCTTGTCAATTACAGTATATTAACACTGTCACAGCAGGGACACATATAATTACCGTATCTCTAAAACTTGAACTAATATTGAAAAAATAAGTTTCATTCCGGTTTTAGCACATTAAAAATAG